AAAAATGTATATATCTAGGCTCTGCTGTACATCAAGTATTTAGAGAGCTGCCACTGTTATAGGTATATTAAATTTGAATTCAGTGATTGAAAATGTATAAAAAATCTAAAAACTAATTTCAGTTTTACAAATTATAATTTGGTTGGATCATTACATGTAATACCTACTACTGCACACTGAATATTGAGGACTTTTTTAATACCTTTATGTTTATTGTTCACACATACCTATCTAATAGGATTTCGCAATGAGGTTACGAGCAATGAATTGACAAATGATTCGTATTTTTTTTATATCAAGGAATTATAATAATATACAAAACAACATTTGTTTTATCAAGATACGTTTGATATTGAATAATAACTTAAATCGCTTTGCAAAAAATTGACAATTTTTACAAATTTCACATTCCTACTAAGGTTTTTTTTCCGGCTTTACAATCTATTAAGAATCCTTACCACCAAAACTACCTTTTACTACCTAAACTCCTCCTACAAAGGTCAAAACTATGAATTATACGTTAACCTTCAAACCAGTGCTAATATGCTAATTTTCATTTTGCCTCAACCTCTGATATAAAAACCAAAATATAAATGTTTTATAACTGCATAGGGGAAAAAAATGTATAAGATAAAAATAAAAAGTTATTTGATGAATTCCGATAATCAATAGCCAATAGGTAATAAATTAATAAATTGGATAAAAATAAATTCTAATGTTCAATTTAGTAGGTCGTAGGTGACTTGTAAAAATGAATTACCTAACCTAATGATTATTCGACTACAACAAATTATAAGTATAAATACGTATAATAGGTTAATGTTATATAATTATACTAGTTGAAATTATTTATGTAAAAAAGCGCCATCTCTCTAAAAATTCTAACACTCGGTGTACTTGTAATATGTATTATGTATAGTTGCTTAACTTCAAAATTTTCCTTATTTTTTTTTTTTAAATCAGCACCACTCCAAATTTCAAAAAGACGGGTTCAACTGGATTTTTTATCATTGACTGGCTATAGTTTCAAGAACAACTGGATTTTGCGTATTCCGTTTACCAATGTCTGTTAGTTAAAACTCGAATATATAAATAAAAACAATGAACATTTTTATTTAACAAGCGCCGRCATTAATAAACGTATATAACTAGTAAAGTATCTCGTTTACCGATTTAATTACAATGAATTCCGCTTAATATGGACAAGTTAGCACCAAAATAATTTGCCCACAACAAGCTTTTGGCCATAAAAACCAAAATAAATAGTTTATTAATGTACATTGGAACTGTTGAGACCACACCATTTTGACCAAATTTCGATGTTAACCGGTATTCTCATTAAACTGAATCCATTGTATTTGATTAAATATTGTTAAGATATTATGCACGCAGCTAGCATTTCGTCATTATTTTTGTCAAATTCTGTTTGTTTTTTTTTTTTTCAAATTTTATAAATTTTAACAAAGTATGTGTAGGGGAAAGGTGGGTAAAATGGGGCCATAAGGGAAAATAGCCTTCACCCCTTAAACTGTTGAACTTTATGAAYTTTTCTAAACCAAAGAACTTTCTTTAATATGTACACTAAACATCTATGTAATTAAAATGTATAGTCATCTAATAGTTTTTTATTTTTTTATTTTTAAAAAAAAAATTGTATTTTGCCCCATTTTAGCCGAATGGTAGGTTAAAATGGGGTACTTGGTTAGGTAAAATGGGGAATAGTTAAAATGTCCTTAAAATTAATATTTCTTTTCATTATATTCTTTTATTTAGTTTTAATTAGTAAACACATCATACATAAAATAAAATGACTGTCTTAAGAGTTATGAAAACCAAGCTTAAAATAAAGTAGTTAAAAATGGGGTACCCCATTTTAACCAACTCTTTGGTACTCCATTTTAAACAAAACTAACAAGTCACACAAAATATTTTCTATGAAAATTTAGATTTGACGATTTAACTTGGAATTTTTTTAAAAACAAAGCTTATAAAGTACTAAATTAATAATAATAATTAACTGTTACTAATATCCGAAAGGAGACCATAAAAACGTGAATTACTGACAGTGAAATAGTTTCTACACTACACGCTAAAAGTTTAATTTTTTTTTTGTGATAAGAATATTTGATTTAGAACAAATATTTAAACATCACATGTTTTGATAAGCCTTGTATTGATAATTTACGATTTAGTTATCATCAATCGATTCCAGTGTGACCAATAACACCTATACCCTGTTTTACCCGACTACCCCATTTTACCCACCTTTCCACTATATATTACAATATTATGATCAACTCATTCATCTCGTAGGTTAGGTTAACCTTTAACCTAACCTATACATAAATGGTTTTAAATATCACAATAAGGTTTAATTACTTGTTATTTTTAATTAGACGTTTTAATTTATTAATATGAGATATGTACATGAGAGATGAGACGATTGCCCAGACGTTTCTAAGTATTCTTTGTGACTTTGTTATTGTTATTAAGTACTTAATGAGTATAAAAAACATTTAACAGGTATAAAGTGATTAAAATGCACTTTAAAATATTTATGAAAATATAAGTTATCCATTTAGATACCTAGTCAGTAGTTATGTTTATCATTAAAAATAAAACACACAAACCAAATATATTTTTGATTTTGATATCTACATAAAAAAAAAATTATAGTCTTTTAAAAATCAATTATAGGCTAAGTACATCATAACATTGTTTTTCTATCTTTTTAATATAGCCATGCACCAAGTTGCATTTAATTGAATATTTTACACAAAAACTGATCAATCTAATAGGCACATTCTCTACACTGAGTCCAATCTTTCCGGGTATACGTTTTTGACAATTTCAAAAATCCTTAGGTAGCATTGAACGTAATATTTATTTATATTTAATAACTTTTATTCTACAGCCTGTACCACAATGAATAGCTTGAAAAGATCGCCATAAAAAATTTTACTAAAAAAGTAAAATCCCATACTCAAAATATATTGTCTGCCAAAATGTACTTTTAATTAAATGTATTTTGAAAATGCATATAAATACATAATATGCCAAGTTGCACACAAAATTAAATTCGATCAATTTAACCAACCATAAATTATAATAAATAATGTTTAAACTTTAAGAGAACACTTCTCAGCTAACCTTGAAACTACAAACAATAAATTAGATGTTTATTAAAAAAAAAAGGTTATTTTTTTATTGAGTTCAATTACAGCATGGTTACAGAAAAAATGATTCCCAACAGTATTGCCTTTATTTTAATATTCCTTCTAAGCGGTTTCCAGTTATATTTTAATACATAAATCACAAATATAAACGATAAGAGTGATAACTGGTAAGTTTTAACACATTAACACAATTGTACTTCTTAAGCTGTATTTACCTACATAGTTAAAGAAACTAAGACTAGTGTAGGTATATATTTTAATAATATAAAAGAAGGTCAATGACTATTGTTTTCTCTGGTTCATTGGTCTTAAATGTTTTTATTGGTCGGGATTATTTTCTTCCACACAATTTTTAAACTATAATATACTATTGTGTCGATATTCCTTTAAATATTAATATATTATATAATTATTTTAATCRTCTCTATTACTAGTAGGTATGTATGAAATAATAACAAAGTGATTATGAACTCCTAATATTAATAGTATATAAGTAAGTATTTAGAAAACTCATTTATAATTTGTATACTATATAGGTATACTTTAATTTGAAATTATTAAAAGATTATATTTTACTATATTCTATCTCAACGATTAAATAMATTAATTTTATTTACCTATATATTTATAAAATATAGAAAAACATAGATGGATAGAAACTAATAAGATATTAGTACATTATTAGACATAGTTTGATCGTGCCTACTATTAATAATATAGGTATGAGGGTAAGTACTATTTTTTTATTTTGTTAAAGGAGTCTTTTGTTATTGTTTTTCTTTCTTTTTTTTGAGAAAAGTGGAGGAATACAACATCTCATTTATATCTACGGCCGTTTTATTAGTATTTTGACAACGCAAGATACAACTCGAGACCATCAGTCCTACAGAGAAAATAATCGTGATTTCATCACCGCAATTATATTTAAATAGATTTAAATACATGAAGGTGCCCTTTGCGAAGGATGTGCAATGCGGTCGATTGAAAAATTCTGTCCGCACAACTTGACATATTTAAAACATCGACGGTACTAATACCAATAGTATTATAAATCGGTTAATCATTGTCTAGTAATGTCTACCAGAATATAGCCACACGAACAATTCGTGGATCCATTATGCGGGAAACTAATGGCTGGATTAAAATTTTGAAGCTCCCATTTTTCTTTGTTTAGGTAATTGTAGTTTTACAAAACATTAAATATAACATATAAACATTTAATATGAGTATTCAATTTGAATTTTTTTTTAGCTTTTGTTGAAATAAAATATTTGTATAATATAGTTTAAATTATTATTGATGTAAAAATATAATTGTCTAACGCTAATATTATGAGTCTACTTGTGTACTGTTAGTTATGAATTTGTTTTTAATTATTCTAAGTTTTAAAGACGCTCTTTTGGTAGAAAAGCTCACACTTAGTGTAGTTAAATAAATCTTTTTCAAATATAATAAGAATTTGTCATAAAACCATCTAAATCTTTTTCATGCATATAAATTTAAATTGTAATGCTGTTTTTTAAGTTTTTTTTCTCTTTTGTTATTGACATAATTAATTAAAATATATATTTTTGTTATTCATAAAAAATTACTGGGTATTTTTTCCGCATAATATTATATACAAAATTAGAGCTCCTAAGAATATCACAATAGACTTATGACCAGGAGACAATGATAACGCTAACTCACTTTCTGGGCTTCTTACTACGTGGTTGAGTAGAAATGGCCAGTTGTTGTGAAGGAGGGTCCTGATAATTCTTTAATARATGTAGGTACAATGGGAAGGAACAAGATAACAAAATGCATTTTAAAGAAAAAGATAAGTTCTTGAAAAATAAAATTTTCTTTTTTATTTGGCTAAGTATTATGTAGGCACACGCACTTCAAACAAAAATGCCTATAAAACAACTTACAACGCCGTTATAATCGATGGCCGTTATATTCGAGATTTTATCTTCGCGAAGGTAAAGTACAAACTAAGTAGAAAATACAAAAAAAAAAATAATATAAATTTATCGTCTAAAAAACGAACGGTTTTCCTAAACAACAAAAGACAGAAAGAAAAAAAGAAAACACAGGATGTAAATAATATAGTAATCGAGCAAGAAAACTTATCAAAATAAAATTAGCACATGTTCGTCTCGTTGATAATAATAATAATAATAATAATAATAATAATAAATAATGATCTTCTATCGCAACGTATTAATCTCGTAAATAATAGGTATTTAATAATAATATCAGTGCAAGTGTTTGAAAATCAATGGCCAGCTGCGACGGCACATCACACTGCGGCGGCGCATCACGGCGGCGGCGGCGGTGTTTGCATTAGCAGCAGCCACCGCAGCCGCCGCAGAAGAAGACGTTACCACCGTGGTGTTCCGGGATCAATGTTGCTTGGACGATTTTTTGGACGCGCCGACACGGCTCCCCTTGTTGAGATACGCGTTGTAAAAGAATCGGGCGAACAGCAGCAAGTAACTGAAGTACATGGCCGACGACAGGGTGATGTTGAGCTTGGACACACGGCACGAGTGCGGGCCGCCGGACTTCAGGTAACCGTACGTGGTGTAGTTGATGAAACAGCCGATCAACATCTGCGTCAGCTGACTGGCCGTGATGAACATGGACACTTGCTTGGGCGGCCGGTAGCCCATGGCCCGCGCCGCGTAGTACGTGTACATCATCGAGTGTACCGAGTAGTTCATGACGATGAACCACCGGGCGGACGACGTGAACTCCATGTACGAGAACCACGTATACAGCAGCACGGTGATGTGATGGTACCAGTGCAGGAAGATGAGCGGCTGCTTGCGGAGCACGATGAATATCGTGTCGCCGAGTTCGGGCAACTTGGACAGCACGAACAGCCACGACCAGAACCCGGACACAGGGTCATCCTCGACATAGCTGCAATTGAAAAGGAACAAAAAAAAAAAAACCAAATGATTAGATTGAGAAATGAAGTATTAATGCCAACTGAATGGCAGGTCAACAATTTTATTTTTCCAAAACATCTAAAACTAAATAGAATTAAATATTAAGTTGAGATTCGCCAGCCGTGTGGTTACGCCTGGCGGGGAGGAAGCGCCTTTAAAACACTTTGATAAGAAATTAATGTCAACACCGATTTGGTATTCCCGTTCGGTTCTATACGACGCATTGGTGTATATTTAGACGGTTATATCAGCGATATTTTAATCAGGTGAGTGGGGTCACAGCCTGTTATAACGTTACTCTTAGTTCAATGTTTAGATGGTTAACATTTTGGTGTTCAAGATTTTCATATACAATAATTTATTGTTCAATATTTTGACGTTTGACGTTTGTCAAACCGACCGGTAGTCGATCGAACAAGTGGTAGGTACTAGGTACAGGCGGATATAACCTAAGATACGAATAATGTACAGCTTCAAAATTGTAAGTGACATCGGAACAATAAATGGTGAAAACTGAAAACATCTCCGTTTTCCCCAATTTTTGTCTGTCTATATTAATATGATMAAAATGATTTTCTGATGAGTCTTTACTCTTTTAATAGCTACTATGGTATGAATAATTTTTGCTTAAGTTTTTAGTATAAAACATATTACGTAACAGGTAGTTTGATTTATTTATTTAGTTTCACAAATTTAAAACAATTTTTTCGTATTTATAAATAAATAAATTAATAAATATAGAAAAGTGTACAAGACTGTTCAATGCTAGAACTGTACGTAGGTAATATAAAATAGTAATCAACGGCTGTTAAATATAATCGATGCATAACCAATGTCGAATATCACATTACTACAGTCACAGTTGTATTATAATAAAAAGTACAACAACCTCTTAATTTGAAACTTGGTTTGAAAATTTGGCTTGGGTTCAACTATCCTCAAAAATAAAACCTCAAAATCAAAACAAATTACTTCTTGGACTAACTACTTAACTCTACTCAACTAAATCTTCCTTCTAACGAAGGACTAGAAATCCAAACCACAATTTTAGAAACCAATCCTCCGACACCGGAAATGCATCTAACGTCGATATGACCGATGAGGCGGCGCTAGCGTTATACGACGCGTCACTGTCATTATATTCGCTACGGTTCTGAACGACAGTAATACAAATTATATAGGCACCTACTGTCCAACTGAATAATGATTACTTTTACTACCACAGTACGCGTTTTTTTTTTTGCACACAAACTAGACACACAGATTACTATGTAATATGACGTTAGGTTTTACCTTAGGTAATAAACTATTATTATTATATTATTTATTTATACGGATTGTGCGGTTAAGGATAAATATAAGCCACCAAACCATAACAACGATGTTTTTACCCTTAAACTTGTTAAGGAAATACGTATACTTGATGTATATTTTATAAAGACGTACGCTTTGTGTATTGCTACAACAATAATTACAGAACATTACAACCTTAACGTTTAAATAGCTAAATTATGTGTAATTATGTGTATCAATGATCACGCATGTGCTGCGTAAGCACAACAGTAAACACTCTTTCTCAATGTACCTACACATCTACACGCGGACAAAAAAACGTCTCTATCACTATTTCACTAACCGAAATTGTATTAAAAACATTCAGTATAACATGTTTAGAATGTTTAGATAACAAATCTAATTATAAATACACGCTCGGGCGTTAGAAATAATATTATTCGACCAGTGTAATTAAACGTAATAACGTCATGCAACTTGTAAGGTAAACTTGGGTAGTTTGCATTCGCTCAAAACTCAATCGTCAGACCACATTCTCTTCGATGATGCGCAGTCGATTTCGAAACCGTAGACACACTCCCGGGGACGTTGTTCCAGGGTCACATATGTAATTTCCGCCAATAGCAAACGGAACGAGTTTATATTTTACAACAAATAAGCATACTTGTTTCAAAAACTGGAATTTTCTTATACGTTTGTTCTTAAAAACGAACGAGAACTTAACCTACAGCCCACACTTGTTTAATGAAGTTGATTTAGCGTAGGAACTAGGAAATCTTGTTTGTTATTATTCGTTACGATCGACGGAATATATCGGAAATATTTTATCAACAAAATATTATTCAAACTGTTTCGAAAAAAAAAATATCGACAGTACAAACTATATAGACGAACGCGATTTTTTGGATTTTGTTACTACGAATCCATAATATACCTAAAAGAAAATATGCAAATCGATGACTGCTAAACACTCACACAGCCGTATCACAAACCTGAAAAATGTATTAAGTCATTAATTATGACCACAAAATATATGCTTCTTTAAACTAATACATTTAATTCCCCAATGTACTTAAATTATCATCGAAATAAACAGTATCGAGTTATTTAATAAAAGTAATATAAATAGATAAAATAAAACAGCAGTATTTAATATTTTACCACCTAAAATGAGCCAATTCACGTTGTGGGTCATTGGTATTTACATCTATGACAATATATTATATTAACTATACCTACCTATATTAAACATACATTAGTAATGTACGAATGAAATTATGACCTAATGATACACAGTTATATCTTATATGCTATGTTAAGTGCGTATAGAGCCTGATGTTCACTGTTCAAACTGACTTCTTGACGACTAGAAAGTAGTAACCTATAATATATTATAATGGTTATAACTTATAAGTTATAACTCTACTAATTTTGTAAAATTAATAACATTAACAAATAATAGAAACCAAAATGTTTGTTAAAGAGAATTGCGACTTATTAGAGTAAGAAATCATATATTTACAACAAATATAATAAACAAAAGATAGTCAATTTAGTACAATTTTAAGACTAAAACAAAAAAATTTAAAATATATGGCAAATACAACATTTTTTTTAGACTAAATTGTATGGTTTATACCCCATGACCATCTACCAACAATGCTGTTCATTTGGCGACTAAACTTTTTGTCATGTAATCAATGTACAAACTATAAATAAATCAATAATTAAAATTGGTAAAAGTCAAATTTGTTTAAAAATCAAAACAAATCTAAGGAAAAATAATACGTTCACCTAAATGTGACATAAAAAAAAGAAATATACATTTCAAAAATAATACAATTAATTATTCAATCATGCTTCGATAAAAAAAAATCAATAATTATGTTAAATAATATCTAAATAATGAATATAATAATACCAAAATGAAAAATAAGTTTGATCTGTAAATAAATGTGTCACAGCTAGAGCAAATTGATCTCATGAGTAATATTAAATAATAGCACTTCGTAAGCCAATAGGTATCATAACACATGTCGTGCGTGATCACTGATGTTTGGTCTTGAGCGATTTTTTTGATTTGCTGAAGTACGCGTTGTAGAAAAACCTGGCGAACAACAACAGGTAACTAAAGTACATCAGGGACGACGCTGTGACATTGATCTGGGATACCCGGCAAGATTGCTGGCCACCGGCTTTCAAGTAACCAAACGTGGTGTAATTGATGAAACAGCCGACCAACATTTGCACCAGCTGACTGGCTGTGATGAACATAGACACGTATGTGGGCATCCGGTAACCCATGGCGCTGGCCGCGTAGTAAGAGTACATCATGGAGTGCACCGAGTAGTTCATGGTAATGAACCAGCGGGCGGACGACGTAAACTCCGAGTACGAGAACCACGAGTACAGCAGCACGGTCATGTGATGGTACCAGTGCAGGAAGATGAGAGGTTTCTTGCGGAGCACAACGAATATGGTATCACACAATTCGGGCAGCTTGGACAAGACGAACACCCACGACCAGAACCCGGACACCTTGTCATCTGTGAGATAGCTACAAATGGAACAGAAAATCTAGACAAATAGTGTACGTACTGAGGCCGACCACCACCTTCGGATGAATCAATAAAATAGGCTGAAAAGAATCTTATGACAAACACCCATGATAACAATGCACAACAGTATTTTTATGGTTATTATTGCTTTGTGACAAACCGTCGTGCATCATCGGAACAAAGACGCAGACAGTGGAGTGTGTGGAGGATGTAAAGGAAAATGATCTTTTTACAAACACTGGTTTGGCATATTTGAATTTAAAAGAAAACAAAAAGTAGTAGACTTGAGAATCGCCATTATTGACATAGATTTTACTTAGGTTTAGTTTACTGAGTATCGAAAAAAACTGGAAATTTAATAAAATTATTTACAATAATACAATTCCTTCATAACAGATCAAGATAAAGCAACAACACGTTTCACATAATGGCGTACTTATATAACTATAATTAGATAACACTTCAACGGTTTTTGAAAAAAAAATGTTTAACTTATATTTTGTTACTATCTAATTATTATTACTTCAGTTGTTCTTATTGTTCTTTTTTGAAACAGATTAAACAACAAATTGGAAAAACAAAAATAAAACTTATATTTTGAAACATTTTGTAATTATAATTTTTCGTTAGAGGTTGTAAGAATATTTCATATCGTATTGATACAATAAATTAATTAATGGTCGAAATAATACCACACCACATCTTTAATATCTATTAAAATAAATATTTGGTTAAAAAATGAGTCTTTAGAAATTTTTCTGAATTAAATAGTAAAAGGTACCCTATATCAAATTTAGGTGGGGAGATTATGAATAACCAATTTAGTAATACTAATATTGGGGATATTCCGAGTGCTTTCGTTTTTAAATTTATCTTTTTCATAGTTCGAGTGCGTCCGCAGTCTTTCAACAAATTATATTGGATGACTCGAGTGCGTCCTCAGTCCACAGATATCAGAGACACTTATTTAAGGTAAAATTATTCTATAAATAATCTACAACTATACGTAATTCGTTAAAAAGAATAAACTAATTAAATATTATTAGATATACTAAAAAGTAAACAAATAACATTTTTCTTAAATAGATAAAAAAAACCATTTAAAACAATTAGTACGCTC